TCCCATCACTCCCTGGACGAAGGATGAAGTTCGCCGGGAGCTAGGGAGAATGAAAGCTGGGAAAGCAGTGGGTCCAGACGGGGTACCGATAGAGGCATGGAAGGCCCTTGGAGAGCATGGGGTGAGTTGGCTCACGCACTTCCTAAACAACGTAACAGCTGAAGGAAGGATGCCGAATGCGTGGAGGAGCAGCACAATCGTTCCCATCTTCAAAAAAAGGGGACGCGACGGAGTGCTCCAACTACCGCGGCATCAAGTTGACTCCCCATACCATGAAGCTGTACGAGCGCCTGGTCAACACTAGGCTAAGGGAACTTGTCCGATCTCGCAGGAACAGTTCGGCTTCATGCCCGAGAGGTCCACCACCGATGCCATCTTCATCGCCAGACAGCTGATGGAGAAGTACCGAGAGAAGCGGCGACCCTGCTACCTAGCCTTCCTGGACCTTGAGAAGGCATTCGACCGCCTGCCAAGGCCTGTACTCTGGAGAGCGCTCAGAGAACGTAACGTTCCGGAACACCTCATCTCCATAGTGAAGGACATGTACGATGGGGCTAAAGCAGCTGTACGCACCCCTCACGGCTTGACAAAGGAGGTAAACATTACGGTTGGGGTACACCAAGGATCAGCCCTCAGCCCGTTCCTCTTCCTCCTGACTCTAGATGTCATGGCAAAAGAACTCATGGAGGGACCACTGAAAACCATCCTCTATGCTGACGACATCGCCCTGATAGCGGACAGCAGGGAGGAACTTCAGGACAAAGGTGCAGCGGTGGCAGGATGTGCTCGCTGCGAATGGACTCCGGCTGAACGTAAAGAAGACCAAGTTCCTAAGCTCCGAAGAGTGCGCCGAAGTCATCGTAGATCGCCATGGCGAGAGCATCGAAAGGGTCGAGGATTTCCAGTACCTGGGGAGCAACCTAGCAGCTGATGGCAGCGTGGACCAGGCGGTGACGGCCCGAATCAACGCAGCCTGGATGAAATGGAGGGAGTCCACTGGCATCCTGTGCGACCGGCGGTGCTCGAGAACGCTCAAGGGCAAGGTGTACCGGGCTGTGGTAAGGCCTACAATGCTCTACGGCAGTGAGTGCTGGCCTATCTGCAAGAACCATGAAAGGCAGCTCCACTCAAATGAGGATGCTGAGATGGGCCTGCGGCTGGACACGACTCGACAGAGTCAGAAACGAGGACGTCAGAGCAGTCACACAGACGGCTCCTATCCAGCTGAAGGCACGAGAGCAGCGACTGCGATGGTACGGTCATGTACTGAGGAGGCCTGAAGACCACCCAATAAGGAAGGCATTGGAACTCGAGGTAGAGGGCAAGCGACCACGAGGAGCCCCAAAGAAAAGATGGAGGGACGTCATCAAGAGGGACCTCACTGAAGTGAAAGCCACAGCAGAAGATGCAGTGGATCGGAACAAGTGGCGACGTCTAACAAGATCAGCGGACCCTGCGACGGCGCGGGACTAACGCTAGGGAGAAGAAGAAGAAGAAGGTATATTGGAACAGGCTTCTCTGAGAGGATAAAACACTGACTTGTACATCGGCTGGCCACCGCAAGTCATTGTATAGGCCACATCGCATTCAATAACCCACTACGATTCTGAATAGGAAACAGGATGCGTGGCGCATCCCAGAACGATATTTATCCTTACTGTATCCTTTTATCCTTTATGAAAATGTATGACATGGGTAGAGTATGCCGAGCTTTGGGGATAGGGCCTCATGTTAAGATTGAAAAGGGAGTGGGGCCGTATTTACGTTGTAGATAGTATCCCTGCGCCAACGAAACAAGTGTAGGAATACAGAAAAAACATTTTTTTGTATGTCCCAGGTGTAGTTATACTGCAAGGGTTTCTAGAGATAAACGTTTCAATAGAGGCATACGAACAGAGCACGTTGCGAGGGCCATATTTGGTCGCTGGAGGGGGTGGGGGGGGGGATCGTTAAGGAAACCATGGTTTCGGTTACTTACTTTTCTCAGTTTTTCTCCGTTTCACGTGCTCTATCCTCTCCCTTACCCTCCCCCCCTCTCCCTTCCCTTGACGTCAGTTTTCGACTAGAGATTCTTAGGGGAACTCCGGGAAATTTTAGAACGTTGGAAACAGCTGGAAGACTTGGAGACTTTAGAAAGACAGCAGGATGGTAGGTTGGATGCGATAAGGGGTCGTGCCAGAGGAGGAAATTTCGAGGGGGGGGGGCGTATTTTGCAAGATGCCAGCGGAACGGGATGCCCTGCATACGACACTCTGTCAAGCCAGCTGTCTGGGAACAACCCGCAACTCGCCATAGTAAGTTCCACACAACATGTGGTAGGTACCTTGTGATGGTGGGGAGAGGGGGTGTGATGGGGTCGTATAGATGGATAGTTTTCTCATCCCCATGGGGTGTGTCCGGGATTTCGGATGATCAGACCCGTCTTTCCTTCCTCTCGTTCTTCCCCGCCATTACGATAGATTTTTATAATTCTGAGTTCTCCGAAGAAATAGAGAAATTATTTCCAGAGAAAAAAAGAGAGGACCAAATCGCCTGACGTCCTATTTTCATTTGTTGCTGTTTGCTTGCTTGTTTACTCATTTTTTATATCCATCTATCCAGTTATTCATTCAACAATATTCAGTGCCTTAAACGGATTACTTAGCTCTTTCCACAGTGTACGGTGGAAAAATATTTTTCACTATGAGGATTTTTGGAATTAATTCCTGTTTCAGGTGCGCTCCTTAAGTGTAACGAAAACAAGCTCGCGATCTCGGTGCGGTTCTCGAAACATGTCCACTTAGGCTAAAATTGGATATTCCTACACTACATCTCCCTGAGATGAGGTGGGCATGGCCACGTATCTCATCAAACGCGGCGGTAGCCGCTGTTTTTATAAAATGCTTTCGATATGAGAACATTGTGATTACGCCATTGTCCAGCACATGGCCCACAGTTGTCTCAAATTAAATCAACCAGCACAAAAAGGCATCATACGCCTTGTTCAAATGAAGTATGCCGCCACGCCCCTAACATATCCGGGACATGGAGCGCAAGGTGCATAGTAGTAAGGTACAGTGCTTAAACTCGCTGATTAGGTACAAGATCACCGTTCTCGATAGCCGTGACACGGTCCTATCGTATCGTTTCTGCTCAAATCTATCCCCTTGTACTTGTCAGGGGTTTGTAAACTGTTAGGAAAGGTGCAACTCTTTAGACTTTGAGAAGACCTAGTGGTTCTACTTACCCTCTACTACTCTAGCTTTCCAAATTCGGACCAGAACTCCGATTTCTTGTGAATTTGGTCTCGAGAAGTACCCTACTGCCGTGCCAGAACTTCAGCTGGTCAAGGACTGATCAGCGCCGAATGCCTCATCCTTTATGTTTCTCATGAGGCCTATCCCCTCCTTATCTGGTCTACTCCTTAACCGACTCGCGTGGGCTCGTATAGATCCAAGTTAGTGATTTCATCTTTCGTAATGGACTAAGAGCTTGCAAACTTCCAGTTTCCAATCCAAAATATCGTACAAGTGCTGTTGTGCGCTTCTGGACAAAGTACCATCTCCTCTTTAAAGGTACGATCCGCAATCAGGTATAGGAGTTGAAAATATGGCGTCGGGAGGGTAGCATGGTCCGCGACGAACAACCTTGTACCGGTTTCGCGGCAAAAAATTGTAAGGGAGGGGCGCTATAGCGCAATATAGGTTCAGTGACGCCTCCTTTTTTCCAGTGACTCCGCCTCCAGACTCCGCCTTCAAGGCCCGCCTTTCAGTGAAAAACGAAGCTGCAGGACGAAAAAGCATGAAAATCGTCGCTAGTACGTTTGTAGAGTTCTTATCCGGGAATCAGCTGTGCGGATGAAGGCGTAGTGTAGGAGATGGAGTTATATAGGCACGTACAAATTGGGATCGAAAGCGGGTTCTATCTAGGGCAGTTTTCATGGTTTTGCTACTTTTTCGTCACTATCGAGTTACTCAGAACCTTGTCGTCTATATGCAAACCCCTAATCCACTCTCTGTGATAACGAGTGATCACAGACTTTGAAAACAATTTTTTATTCACAAATGCATAATTCCAAACTAACAAACTAACGGAACGAATAATTTGTTACGAATAATCAGCAAGTCAAGTGTAGAGGAAAATCAGAAGAAAAACCCGATATAAGTGAGACACGCAGTACTTGGAGAGCACCATAGCAAGGGGACCACTGACCGCGAAAGTAAACTTGATTTCCCAAGGAAGTATAAACACGATTCGCAAGAAATACTACGATAAAAGAAAAACGTTATGTCTGCCGGTTTAAGACGCCTTGCACGCTATTCGTTTAGGCGGAGCCAGGCCTGCGATCGCCCTCGATGACCCGAACGATGAACCCTTCTCTCTGAGGATGGGCACATACCAAAGAGAAGGCTTATCATAGGTTCGAATCCGGGTAGACAAACAGCGTAGGAAGCTTCTCCAGGGGCACTTCGGCGAGGGGGGGGGGCATTTCGCACCTATGCTACTAGCCTAGACCACTTTTTTGAGTGGCAGGTTTTATCGTGGTGGTTCCACAAACTTGTTCCAGCTTCACAAGAGTTCACAGGTTTCACCAGAGCGAGACTGTAAACCGGAACTAGTGAAGCAGCGAAAGAGCAAAATCCCCCCCCCGTCGCCGAACTGCGCCAAAAGCTACAATATCTTCAGAAAACAAGTACGTGAAGGTGTAACATTGGAATAATTTTACACACTCAAATAATCTGGTAGTTGATGTAGCACAGTAACACCGGATTTTTGTGCAACAAAAGAAGACCGTTTTCAGACACATTTCGTTCTAGCTGAGTGTCGTCACCCAGATGCAGTTAAGAGATCCGAGTTACGGGCAAGGCACGATCGAACTCAGCTAACGGCTTGAGCACTTTCGCGTTAAATCGATTAGGTCCTGCGCAGGCGGCGTCACTTTCGCTGCGCCACCATGACTTGGATCTTGTGACCCGCACCCTTCAGTTCCTAGTCATCGTAAACGTCCTCCTGACCATACGTTACCAGACTCGGCATTTTTCGTACGGATTCATTGGAGTTCCAATGGAGCAGTTGAACGCTTCAGCGAAAGGCGGAAAGTTCCGAAGTGGTAGATTCACCCTGGAAATTACATCAGTAAACACTTGAAGAATATAGCGGACTTGAAGGTACATTCCACCCTGATTGTAAAATCTTCGACAGTTGCGCCCTCCTTTGTTGAGCCCCTATGACCCCTCATTCTGGAATTATGATTAAGCAATAAGAAGGGCAAAGAGCTGCATTGCCATGCTATTTACATGAAATGTTCCTCTGAACTAGAGCCATGAAAACCAAGGGCAGGTTTCTTCGGGAGACGGAGGGAGAGGACATTTTGCTTTATTGCTTCTTCCAATAGTATTAGGTTGTCCGGAAAGTTCTCAGCGTTTTGGGTGTTTCACTTTAAACGATCGTAACTTTTTTAATACTCATCGGATTCAATCGAAATAGGCACCATTCGAATCAGCACACTTGCCATCTTGACAGCAGTCGAGAAATCCCATCAAAATAAAAAACTGGGTGGTCGAAATTCACGAAATCCACTAAGGCTTTTTTGCCTGGTCCTGATTGATGAAGTATTTTCCAGCAAGGGAGTTCTGAAAATGTTTGAAAAGGTGATAGTCGGTTGGCGAAAGGTCTGAAGAATATGGCGGTTGAGGTAGAACTTCAACCCCCAATTCAATTTATGGATAGTGATTTGTGAAACGTGTGGCGGGCGTTGTCATGCAAAGGAATCGGACCCTTTCTTTTGATAAGTGTTGGCTGCATCTGACAAAATTTTCGGTACAATTCGTCGATTTCTTCACAGTAGGGTTCTGCTGTGATGGTTTGGCCTGGTGATAAAAAGTTATAGTGGATCACACCAGCCGATGACCACCAAGCCGTGACCAGAATCTTTTTGGAGGGTTCGGCTTTGAAAATTACCTCGGTGGTTCGTCGAAATCCAACCACTGTCCGGAACGTCTCCTGTTATCATACATGACCCATTTTTCATCACAGGTGACAATTCGGCCCAAAAACAGGTCGTTTCTGCTGCGCAAAAGCAATGCAGAAGGAACCTCGAGACGTGCCGATTCCTGCCGGTCACTCCGATTGTGGGGCACCCAATTGTCGAGTTTTTTCACCTTCCCAATGCGTTCCAGACCATCTGCAACAGTGGATTTGCCAAGGCCTAGCTCTTCTGCTATCTCTCGAACTGTTTGGGATGGGTCAGCCTCCAAAATCCCCCTAAAATCCTCGTCAGATATTGCTTTAAGGTCGGACCGCTTGACACGTTCACACTTCGAATGGCTGAAATCTCCAGAACGAAATTTGTTGAGCCATTGCCGCACAGTGCTTTCTCTAGCACTATTGGGCCTGGTTAATTTGTTGAGCTGTTTCGATTGCGGATTGCCCCAATTTATAGTCGAAGAAAAAAATCGTCCAAAGTGCTCTTTTCACATGCTTGAAAAAATCTTGAAAAAAGGGGGTTTATCAAGCAATGGTGAAACGGCAATTATACCATCAGATAGCGCAAGAAATTCTCTACAGGATGTGCTACTGAGAAGCAAGGCAGAATGAGTTTTTAATCAGCAGTGAATGTACAAAAATAGGTGCACAAAACGCTGAGAACTTTCCGGACAACCTAATATAGTGTCGAGCCACCTAGAGGGCCCTTTCCTTGGAGTTGGCAATTTTTACCCGGTGAAACCTGTGAACTCTTGTGAAGCTGGAGCTGGTCGACGAGCTCGCTCCAGCTTCACAAGAGTTCACAGGTTTCACCAGAGTGAGGTTTGTAAAGCGGAAGTAGTGCAGAGGAAGGAGTGCAAAATGCCTCCCACTCCCCCCCCGCGAACAGCGCTGGATCTTATAGTAATGTTACGTAGCATACAATTGAAAATAAGAGAGCACCTGAACATTCCCAGAGGGTGAACATCGGTGTCCATGATGTAGCTCACTGACGATGTCTTTACAACTTCACACCATACCTAAACAACTTTCCATGGAAAACAGGCGTTCCACTGTGAAAGGATGAAGTGGCTCACATTAGCATAAGCAATGAAGAACAACTGCTCTGTAGTAAAATCTGTTAGTCCAGGCGGTACTGCGCGATTTGACTCACGTGAACTTCTTCTCTGGTATGCCTGAAGAAAAAGAAAAAACGAGTCCGGTGTAAATTAGTGGAGGAGCCAAGCATTCGACTTCTATTCAGAGTCCCTAGCCCAACTCCGCCGGGATGGCCCAGGCGCCCTTCACAATGGGAACGGAACTTGCTCATTGACTGAGCTGCTCATATGGCTCTGTGTTGATCCCATCGTGAAAGATGAACGACTAGCAGAGTCTCCTGAGAGAGTCACGCTTGTACTATTTGCAGGAGGTGTCCACGAAACTCCGCCACAGCCTTCTGGACGAAGACCATCTAGAGATTTTGTTACGCGACCGTGATTGGGTGCCTGAGTTCAGCGAGGTTTTCGATTTCTCCGCCTTTAGACCACGCTGTTGAGCTCCGCCCAATCCGTAATAGAGGGCGGTTTTATGCGTTATGGTGAAAACACTTTGGATATCCCGCTTCTTTCAGGTATTCAGATGCCCTTCAGTCAAGTAGGCGAGTTTTCCAACGCCCTTCGGAATTCTGTGTGAGCCCACAATCCCTGTAGCAGTTCAAAGTTTCCAAAAATGGTACAAGAATATATATGTGAAGGCGGGATATTCTTCTCTAGCCACAAAGGCAATATCGTTCTTCCCATCCTACCAACTTCCGGTCCATACCATCAACCCGCGCCTTGGCGAGTGCAGAAGATAAAATGCTGCGGGACCATAGTGGCTTTGACGGAGCTGCTCGATTGTCGGAGATCTCTTAGATCGAGGGTATCGGTCCGCAGGCATCTGTTCATGGGTGACCCGTACAAGATGTTTTGCAGCTACTTGGAGGTGACGTGGATCCCGTTGACCTTCTTCAGTTCAGCTGCCATGGGAGATGACTTCATATTATGGTGTACGTGAAGGTGATGGGTGAGAGCCTGCTCCTGCTTATCGAGGAATATATTGGGTATCTTCCACCCTGATACTCGTATCCACACTTTCTCTCTAGGCTGTATGTTCCCTACTGATATGCTGCCGGCATCGGGCGAACGTGCCTTTTGCCGCCCCCTTGTAGAGAGCTATTAAAGAATTGACCGATTTTACCATGATGGAGAGTTTGATTCAGCTTCACAGGAGTTCACGTGTTTCACCAGGGTGAGACTGGTTAACGGAAGTAGTGAAGGAGCGAAAGCGCAAAATACCCGCCCTCTGCCCTCCCCGTCGCCGATTTGCGCCCACGAAGTGTTTTCTGCATGCCATACTGTTTATGAGTAAGCCTTCCAGCTAGATTCAAACGGGCAGAAGCGGTCATTTATTTATTTGTTTATTTGTGCTATTGTGAGCGGATCGCATGCTCGAGATCTCCTTCTTCTGTTCTGCCCGAAGTCCCGCTTAGGTTCATTCCTCATGGGTTGAGTTGGTGGTACACCCCAATAATTATGTGGATCTAGTGATCTGGAGCAAGAGACGGAATCTTGCTGAAGATCAAGGTACAATGGTACAACTCCTTGCGCACTTCTCCACTCGTTCGATTATCTCAGAATATGTCTTTAAACAGTTTCTTGCTGAGTGAGCAGTTCAGAATGCGGACCCTACGTCCATCTCGGTGTACCATTGAAAGAATGCGGAGTGATGAGGGGCTCATCTTGTGCATAACCCTTTGCAAGTCAATGAAATTCGTACCTCATAGGCAACTCGCAGTCCTCCATTGTCAGCAATGTTTTCACCTATACTTGCTCGACCGTCAACCTGAAATTGTTGCTTATCATCCTCTCAATATTGAGCCATGGCAGTACATTTCTGGAGATGTGATGGTACGCAGTGAACTTGTCAGTAAATATGGAAACAACGAAGGAACAACGAAAAACAAGGGAACCTATACCCTTTAGCGCTCCCGCATAGATTTCCTATAATATAATAAGGACCTGATATTGTGGTCAGCAGTGTTGAAGAGCCATCCTACCCTCACGGTATCAGGCTGCGGTCATACTTAGCGACCACCAAAGTCCACCAGTAACCAGCAGCGTTACCGTCACCGTCAGCGTCAACGAATAGGAAAATACAGACAGTGATATAGCGACCGATAGCGTCCACCAGCGTCCGCAGGCGACCAGCAGCGTCTCGAGGGCTAGGGAAGTATAGGTATCGATTTAGCAGGCACTAGCGTCCACCAGCGATCAGCAGCGTCCAGGAGTTTAGAGTATGGGGAAGCAGGAGTGTAGCAAACGCTATCCTCATGCTTTTCCAGACTCTCTATCAGCTGTCTGCTACGCTCTATCCCCCAAACTCTATACCAGCATTCTGCTACCCTCCTACATATCTCCCCATACTATAAGTTTATGGACGGTGGATGCTGCTGG